CCATGTTGGCCAGGCTGGTCTTGAACTCCTGACCTCAAGTGATCCCTCTGCCTTGGACTCCTAAAGTGCTGGGATTACAAGTGTGAGCCACTGCACCCAGCCTAACGGTCACTGTTCTTGAAAGCTTTTTGCCTTGTGCTTTACTATCACTGAAAACATTGTAATGTGGCTCAGTTTTGTTCCTGTCCCCAAGGCCTGCTGTTCTCCTGGATGATATCAATGTCCTCATGGATGACAACCAAAATCGATATCTGGGCCAGGCTCTCAGTTCCTTGACTTACCTAACTCCAACAAACCTATATGTCTACTACACTTGGGGCACTCATGACAATGGCTGTACTCCAGATTCTGTCATCACCCAGAAAAGCCCCCATACTGAATAAATCTTGCCTTCCCACTCTCCAACCACATTTTCTATCCTTGTAGTTCTCTCTGTAACGCCTACTATATCTGCTCTCTGACCTCATCGAGGCCTTCAGTCTCTTGAACCTCTCTCTAATTCTTTCCAATATCTCTGCTCTATCTTTATTTCCTTCTCTACCAAATCAAGAAAACTTGGTGTCAGTTCAATCCTTCTTTTGTCCTAACTTCCTTCACTAAACTGTTCTTCTATTACACCAACATGGAAAGAAAAATCTCGAATTGTCACCCCTATATTTGGATTGCCAAATGCTGCTTAAAAAAAAAAAAAATCAAACAACTCGTAAAGGTTGCATCACTTCAAATCACTATTTCCACTTTGATGGAAGCCTAAGCACTTTCTGCAGTCTTTCTGTCTTTGCTTAGCTCTCTCCAATCCTCCACAGCGGTGATTTCAAACCTCCTCTCCTCTCTAACAATCTCCTCCCACACTGTTGGGCTTGCCTACACTTCCAAGAAAATAAAAGCCATTGGACTGGACACCCTTAACTCCCCAGTCACTATATCCAGAAATGTTCCCCTTCTCAGAAATTCCACCCAAGAGAATCTCAGTCCTTTAGGAACCCTGCATTTTTCTCTACCACCATCTCTAGCTTTAATGCCTCCCTTTCACACCAGTTTTTAACACAATTAAGTTTTCAAAGAAAAGATGAAAATCTTCTTTGCATCTATATCAATCCTCCAGCTATCATTCTCTCTACTCTGCTTCATAGCCAAATCTCTAAAAAGAGTTGTCTCCATGGCAGTCTGGCTTCTTTTTCCACCATTCCACTAAAACAGCTGCTTCGATATTAAAGAATGACTTTTAAAAACATATTTACCACTCATTCACAAAGCTCAATTTCCCTAATACATAAAGGGTTCTTACAGATTAAGAAAAAAAGGACCAACAGTTTAAAAGAAAAATGGGTAAAGGATATGAAACATAACTCACAAAAAAACCATACCGTTCTCTTAAATATATGAAAAGATGCTCAACCTCACTGATCAGAGAAAGCCAAACTAAAGCAATGCTGAGATACCATTTTTTACCTATCACACTGGCATACATAAAAGACTTTGAGAATGCTGCATTGGCAAGAGTTTGTGTAAACAGGTACTCTCATATAATCTACAAATATTCATCAGAATTATAAATGCACAACACCTCTGACACAATTCCACTTCTGGAAACTTATTCCACAGATACACACCCATACTTTCAAAGTGACCCATGTACAAGGCTGTTCAATGTAGCACTGTTTTCAAGAGAAGAAAACTGGAAATACCATTAATATCTACCAATGGGGGAGACAGACATGATTAAATAAATTATGGCTTATTTACTTACTTATTTTTGTTTACTGAAACAGGGTCTCGCTCTGTCAGTCCAGTTGGAGTGCAGTGGGGCAATCATTGAACTTGGAAGGATAAAGAGTAATTGGCCAAGACAAGGGTCATAGTCTTTCAAACAGAAATGATTTGGAAGCTTGAAAAAGCTTGTCTGGTCCTAGGAACAACAAAGACCTAGGTAAGGGCATTATGCAAGGCTTCAATAAACATCTGTCAAATGAATGTAAAAATGGCAGACATAAAAGACTAGCGTGGGTGAGGATAGGGTTGGGGGGTGGCCGGAATCCATACAATGAGGCTGGAGGAGGCAGTGATCAGATCATGAAGGGGCCTGTAGGTTACAATGAAAGTTTTAACTTACCACTGGACACACTAAGGAACTACCAAAGGTTTTATCATAGCAAGGTGAAATGGAACAATTTAGATTTTAGAAACAATGACTGACAGCAGAGTGAAGGATCAACTGGTGGGGTTTGAAGTAAGGAGGGTCACTGACTGAAGCCTTCAGAAGTAACCTAGCCAGCAAACCAGTTAGATCTCAGAGCAGGGCAGGAATATCTAAAGGAGACTGAGAAGAGAATTTATAGGGGTGGAATTGAAGGCTAATGAGATGTTGGAGCTAAGGAAGGCCCAGATGTCTAACTTCAGTGAACTGCAATGCTATAAGCAGAAGGATGACCAGTTGTGGGGAATGTGGTGGGGAAAGTGATGAGGTTAGTTTGAACATGGAGAATGTGTGGTGTTAGAGTACATGTTGTACCTGTGGGGAGTGGTGGGAGAAAGGACAGAATGGCAGACAGACAATGACAGAGCAGCTGCCCTGGATGTCAGGCAGAAAGCCAAAGAAGGGAAGAAGGCAGCTCTAAGAGTGACAAAAGCAGCAATAAGCTAGCCAGGCAGCAGACATCTGACAAACACAGTGGGCAGGAGTAGGTGGGTGTTGATGAGTAGAAAACTGATACATACCACCAAGGGAGGGTGGAGTAGGAACAGCACTCTGAAGAGCTGCCAGTGAGATACATCAGCTTGAAAAACTGGCAAGCTTCTGAAGATGTCGTAGAACACCAGAAATCAACTTTCATTATAGGTCTTCTTTTGAGAAAGGTAATGTGATAGAGAAGTCCAAAACAAAGAGACGAGACCTTCCCCAACATTAGTGAAAGTAAGGCACTGGAAAGCAGTTTGCTTCCATAGATGACATTATATAGAGAATGAGACTAGACTACTAAGGTTGTGAAACAGATTCTTAAGTTCTAGTGCTTCTAAGTTACACCTAAAGCAAGATGCAGTTGGGGACCTTGAGAGAGATGAGTCTGGAGGCAAGAAAGTCAGTCAGATTACTGCAATAAACAAACACACAAAATAGAATTTGGTATAAGTTTACATTGCAGATTAACACAAAGAACAATATGAAAAATTATTTGTTCTGCTTAAAGCACAACTTGGAACAAACTACTGGTTACATGAAACCAAAGTATAGTACAGGTTATCTGCATAAAGTAAAACATAAAAACAAACCAGTGACAATTTTGAAAAAGAACAATAAAATGAGAGAAATCTATCTACCCAGTGTTAAGGCTTACTATATAGCTACCATATTTAAGACAGTATTAGCAGAGAAATAGACAAATAGATCAATGGAGTAAAATACAGAACCAGTAAGACTCACATAATATGCCCAAATAAAGTTGCAAAAGCAATTCAATGGACAGCCTTTTCATCAAATGGTACTTGGAAAAATGTGTATCTATATGCAAAACAATAACACTGAACCCTCCCCTTATACCACATGCAAAAATTAACTTAAAATGGGTCAAAAACCTAAATTTAAGTCCTAAAACTATAAAACTTAGAAGAAAACAGAGAGCAAAGCCTCATGACACTGGATTTGCCAAGAATTTTCTGGATATAACGCCAAAAGCACGAACAACAAAACAAAACACAGATTAAGTAGGACCTCATCAAAATTAAAAATTTCTGTGAATCAAGGATACCATAAGAGAATGAAAAGGCAATCCATGGATGGAAAAAAATGTGTGCCAATCACATATCTGATAAGGAACTGAAATCCAGAATATATAAAGAGCTCCTACAGCTCAACAACAAAAACCTAATTTTAAAAATGGGCAATGGGGCCAGGTGTGGTGGCTCATACCTGTAATCCCAGCAATTTGGGAGGCTGAGACGGGAGGATGACTTAAGCTCAGAAGTTCAAGACCAGCCTGGCCAAGACAGTGAGACCTCATCTCTACAAAATACATTTAAAAGTTAGCTGGGGGCCGGGTACAGTGGCTCACACCTGTAATCCCAGCACTTTGGGAGGCCGAGGCGGGTGGATCACCTGAGGTCAGGAATTCAAGATGACCCTGGCCAACACTGTGAAACCCCATCTCTACTAAAAGTACAAAAAATTAGCCAGACATGGTGGTGGACGTCTGTAATCCTACTTGGGAGGCTAGGCAGGAGAATCGCTTGAACCAGGGAAGAGAGGTTGCAGTGAGCCAAGATAATGCCATTGCACTCCAGCCTGGGCAAAACGGGCAAAACTCTGTCTCAAAAAACAAAAACAAAAAAGTTAGCTGGGTGTGGTGGCATGTGCCTGTAGACCTAGCTACATAGGAGGCTGAGGCAGGAGGATTGCTTGGGTCCAGGAGTTTGAGGTTACAGTGAGCTATGATTGGTGCCACTGAACTAAAGTTTGGGTGACACAGCAAGACCCTGTCTCTAAAAAAAAGAAAAGTGAAAAAAAGAAAACACACAAAAAATCCCACAAAAAAACTCCATTAGGATGGCTATTTAAAACACAAACAAAAACAAACCCAAAATGAAACAAAACCCAGAAAATAACAAGGGTTGGTGAGAATGTGAAGAAATTAGAACCCTTAACATTGCTGGTGGGAATGTAAATGGTACCACTACTATAGAAATCAGTATGGCAATTCCTTAAAAAACTAAATACAGTATTACCATATGATCCAGCAATTCTACTTTTGGGAATATACCCAAAAGAATGAGAGCAGGAACTTGAACAGATATTTACACACCAATATTCATAGCAGCATTATTCACAATAGCCAAAAGGTGGAAGCAACTCAAGTGTCCATCAACAGATGAATGGATAAATTTGGTATATACATACAATGGAATGTTAGCCTTAAAAAGGAAGGAAATTCTGACACATGCTACCATATGGATGAACCTTGAAGGCATCATTACTAATAAGCAAGTCACGAAATGAAAATATTGTATGATTCCATTTATATGAAGTACTTAGAGCAGTCAAACTCATAGAGAAGGAAAACAGAATGATTGCCAGGGGCTGGGGTAAAGAGGAAGGAGGAGTTAGTGTTTAAATGGGTACAGAATTTCAGTTAGGGAGGATGAAAAAGTTTCGGAGATGGATGGCAGTGATGGTTGCACAACAATGTGAATATGTTTCATACCACAAAACTGTACACTTAAAAATAGTTAAAATGATAAATTTGGCATTATGTGTATATTTAACTACCTTTTTTTTTTTAAAGACAGGAGAATAAAAAGGCAAATCACGAACTGGGAGAACATTTTGCAAAAAATGTATCTGACAAAGGATTGGTATCCAGATATATAAAGAACTCTTAAAGCTCAACAGTAAGAAAATAAGTATCCCAACAAAACAATGGGCAAAAGATCTGAACGGATTATTTTTATCAAGGAAGATATACAGAAGGGAAATAAGCACATGAAAGACGCTGCTAACTATTATCATTAGGGAAAGGAAAACTAAAACATAAAATACTAGTATATGCCCACTAAAGTGACTAAAATGAAAAGATCAGCTATACCAGGTACTGTTGAGGATATGGAGCAATCAGTACCCTCACACATTGTTGGTGCACATACAAAATGGTACCACCACTTTGGAAAATCATTTGACAGTTTCTTAAAAAGTTGAACATACTCCTACCATATGATCCAGCCATTCCACTCTTGGCTATTTACCCACAAGAACAGGAAATGTGTATCCATACAAAAGCTTGTATATTAATGTTCATAGAAGCTTTATTTGTAATAGCCAAAAACTGGAAACAACTCAAATGTCTATCAGTAGATGAATAGATAAAACGTATTTTGGTATATCCATATAATGGGATACTACTCAACAATAAAAAGGAATGAACTACTGAAGTACACAATATGGATGAATCTCAAAAAATTAAGCTAAGTAAAAGAAGCAAAAGGGAGTATATACTTGTTTTAAAACATAGATGTTATTATGAGGCCAACAGATCAGGAGATGATTGCCACTGACAAGATAGTTACAGTTCTGAAGACGAAGGTGCACACCATGCCACAAGGGTGCCACATGAGGAAGCACTAGGGTCAGTCAGGAGGCCAATGGAATAGGGTGAAAACAGGGCAAGAGTCTTTATGTGGTTTCAGTGGAAGGAATGGGCAAGGCAGGGTAAGCACATTTAGGACTGGCTAGTTTGAATAATTTCAGTGAGTTTTGCAGCATAGGAATGTCCCTAGTTTCCTGTTACCTGATCTTGAAAAGAACAGGGCAGGTGGATAGTAGCAGAGGGGTGTGAAAGTCATGTGAAAACCACGTAAAGGAGGTAGCTAGAGTATGAGTTATTCACTGTCTCTAGGAATTGGCTAGTCCTGTCAAAGGATCAGAAACGTATGGTTAATCCATTACTACATGATTTCACTTGTATAGAACTCTAGAAAATACAATCTAATCTATAGTGGCAGAAAATAGATCAACGGTTGCTTGGCGATGAAGGAATGGGCAGGGGCAAAAGGCAGACATT